CGGCGTCCGTCTTCAGGTTCTGGACAAACTGCTGGTACTCGGCGTTCTGAGGCTCTCGGTACGTCAGGATCTTCACGCTCTGGAAACAAACACAGATTTATTGTGAGTCTTTGTTGTAACCAATGAGGATTCAGCAACACAGGGCGCATCACAGATCCATAATTAATCTTTTACATGTTTTTATAGGAAATCAGATAAAATATTTATGAGCTTCCACATGAAACAGGAAGTAAACGTGCTGACATCAGAGCTGCACAAATCCACACACTGTACATAAAAGATGGATGACGGCGCCATACAGGAGAAATCTGCTCTCTCTTTCTAGTCCCTGTCAGGACTCTTGCTGCAGCATTTTGGATTAACTGAAGGCTTTTCAGGGAGTTTTTAGACTTCCTGATAATAATGAATTACAGTCGTCCAGCCTGGAAGTAATAAATGCATGAACTAGTTTTTCACTCTGAGACAGGATATTTCTAACTTCATCGAGCTCGTCCAGGTTGAAGGGACTTCCTGCTCCATAGGGGGCGCTGTCGAGCTCAGCAGAAGTGGTTCCACCTGTAGATGTTTCACAGGTTTTCTCCTGCAGTAAACGCTTTTTGTTAGAGATGTCACAGCACCGTGAGGCGCTTTACAGCGTCCTCCATTTTGGTTTGGGGCGTGAAGCGAGCAGCCTCCTGACAGCGTCGCCTTCACCCGCTGCTCCTGTCACGGCCTTTTATGTTCCAAAGGTCCAAGAAAAGGGTAGAAAGCACTTCTGACTCCATTGTTTAAAATCAGATGGCGTTTATTTCAAGGAAAACAAAAATCAACCAAATAATTTCTTACAACCTAAAATTAAACTAAAGTTAACTTAATTTGCTTTCACAAGTTCAAAAAGTGCTCAAAAAATCAGTTTTTAAACCCTCCCGTCGTCCCAGCTGACATTTGGCAAACAAAAAACATTTACCACACCCTCCAGGCTGCTCGTAATCCCCTGACCAATGGGAGGGTCCATGAGCCAATAAACCAATCACTTCCCAAAACTTTTCCAATTAATTAATTACAGAGTTACAAACAAAACGAGGTCAGCATATTCTTACAACTTTAAAGAAAAAACAAAAATGAACACAAATTGCGATTTATAAACATTCAACAGAAATGGTCACAACAGCTCCTGCTGCACACCTGGAGCTCCTGCTGCACACCTGGAGCTCCTGCTGCACACCTGGAGCTCCTGCTGCACACCTGGAGCTCCTGCTGCACA